AAAGAATCTGACACGACTTGGCCACTGAACAACAATCCTGACTCTCCGTCCTTTGGGTCTTTTGTCTTCAAAGGTCTTTTTCTCACTATTATTGTAACCAATGACGGTACTATATTCTAACCTAACCAACACTTCTTACCTTTCTAGAATATACATCACAATATATCTTGGACTTCCCTTGTGGCTCAGCTGGTAAAGAATCCGCCTGCAATGCGGGAGACCTGGGTTCTATCCCTGGGTTGGAAAGATCCCTTGGAGAAGGGAAAGGCTACCCACTCCAGTATTCTGGCCTGGCGAATTCCATGGACTGTACAGTCCATGAGGTTGCAAAGAGTCAGACACGACTGAGCGACTTTCACTTTCACCTGGATTTCTGATTTACTGATGGCCTTAGGCAGATTAATTTAAACTGACATCACTTCTTTCCTGTCTTCATGTCTTTCTTCATTCAGCTTATATTTATGGTCCATCAATAAAATTATCTCTGTGCATCTATCATCAAATTTATCTCCTTTTATCCCCACTGCCTGACAAAACTCCAACCCAACATTTTGGCTATCCTAGATCTGTATCTAGGAGCTTAATATGCTTAGAGAAAAATGCACAATTGTGCCAACTGATCTCACTTTAAATGCATGACTATATTCTTAAGTGTGGAGGCTCTTGGCATTGCTCTGAAATTGTGCATTAGGCATCTTACCATCCCTCCATTCTCTGAGACGACTGTTTCATGGTTTTTTTTTTTTCTTTCTCCTTAATTACAAATTCCTCAAATTTACTTTCAGCATAAAACTTACCTCTTATTTCACTAGATAGATACAATTGGAAGGTACAATAGATAAAATTGGAAGAGACCATCCTCATATCACCAAATCCTTTGTTGAGTACATGAGTCACAATGAAAAAAATTGTTTATCTATCTATCTATCTAACTTCATCATCAGCATCACCATCCATCTTTCTATCTACCACGTATTAATCAATTAGTGAGTCAATAATCTACCTACCTAACTACCATTAGGGACTCTAAAATGTATTGATATTTCAAATCTCCATTTTCTCGATAGCATTATAATCCCTAGTTTTCCTTTCTTTGGCATTTAATTTTTATATCTTTGACAAGCCTTTTTCTTATGTTTTATCCATATTATTTCCTTTCATGTATGTATCATTCAAATTAATTTTTTTTAAGGAGGTTACCATAATCACTTTCGTTTGTTTATACTGAAGTTCGGAAAACTCATGGAAATTTAAGACTTGACAAATAATTCTCATTTTCACACTGATGGTTTTTAAAATAGTTGTAATTAAACAGGACATGGCTCAGGATACCCAAGGTGGCAGGAATACAAAACCATTCCAAAAGGTCACTGTGCAACAAAGGGTTGGATGTGGCAGATCACCTTTCCTTGGCAATCTCCTCCCAGTGCAGAGTAATAGTGTTCACTGTAGGGATCCCCAATAAGGACTTTGAACAAGAGATACACTAACCTTGACTAAATTATTTTCTACTCATTTATGGGGCCTCCCAGCTGTAGGACTATGTAATAACTTGAGTGGTTATTCAATTATCACAGGGTTAATTAATTAATGTGGGTGAAATCATTTTATATATCCACGGGATGAGAGATTTTTGAAAAGCATTCAATACTACTCTGTGTTGTTTCCTGATCCTTTAAGTGAAAGCTTAATTAGTGACTTTATGAAGGAAATGAGAAGCAATCAAGCAAATTATGTTTTTGAAGGCCTAGTCTTTTTACAGTGAAAAATGCGTCCACCATAAGACTTATTATGTTTTCTGCATTACTCAGTTCCCAGAACAACGCATTTACTGAAAAGGCAACATGGCGCTGTGATCTGCCAGTATAAATAATGCCAGTAGAATAAAGTGTTTAAAAACACATTTCTATGGGTGGAAGAGAAATCTCAGACCCAAGAACACAAAACATCACATTAAAATATTTTATTTTTTCTAGTCTAATTTTATAAAGAATATTTTTAAATGTTTTAAAAATTAATTTTAATAACACTTTTTTTTGATAAAGGAAAGCGAATCTGGAATATTATCTACAGAGTGTTTCTCCTCATCTTCTCCTGGTTTAATGTCTCTGTCAGACTCTCCTCTTCTCTTGGGTTATGGGTTGACCAGTAAAAATGGGGAGATTTGAAGAATAAAAAAAAAAAATCCCCCCTATTTTTTCCTTATACCATGGTCTGAACATTGTCATATTAACCCTAACCATAATCTCAGTAAATTGGGAAGTTTCAGAATTGCGAATTGCTTTTGTAATGAGTAAAAGATATAGTATATTCCAGGGTGGAATTTAAGGGTAATTTTCTAGGTATTAATACAATTAAATTAGATTTTGTCATGATATTCATTCATTCAGTCATATCTACTGAGTGCCTGTTACATGCCAGTTCTGGTCTTGTATGCTTGGGATTGAGATATAAATAAACTTGACAACAATGCCTGCCTCATGGAGCTAATGTTCTAGAAAGAGGGGATGAACAATAAATAATAAACATAACCATTAGGTGAACTATATGATATCTTAGAAGGTTAAATGAAGCCCTCTGGACAAGGAGTGGAGTAAAAGAATGGATTCATGTGGGAGGTGAGACAGCTTACAATCTTAAGGAGGGTGACTGAGGAAGACCTCATTCATAAAGTGACCTTTAACAAAGACTTGAATTAAATAAAGCATTGATGCTTTTGAACGGTGGTGTTGGAGAAGACTCTTAAGAGTCCCTTGGACTGCAAGGAGATCCAACCAGTCCATCCTAAAGGAGATCAGTCCTGAATATTCATTGGAACGGTTGATACTGAAGGTCCAATACTTTGGCCACCTGATGAGAAGAGCTGACTCATTTGAAAAGACCTGATGCTAGGAAAGATTGAAGGCAGGAGGAGAAGGGGATGACAGAGGATGAGATGGTTGGATGGCATCACCGACTCAACAGACATGAATCTGAGTAAACTCCGGGAGTTGGTGATGGACAGGGAGGCCTGGTGTGCTGTGGTCCATGGGATCGCAGAGTCAGACATGACTGAGCCACTGAACTGAACTGAATTAAGTAACAGTCAGTGTTCTAGGCAAACCCTAAGATGAGAATGTGCCCCGTGTGTTCACAGAACAGCAAGAAATAGTGTGAGTGGAGCCAGGTGGCGAAAGGGAGAAGGAAGTGAAGTCAGAGAAATAAAAAAAGGAGCCAGTTCCAGCACTGCCATTAGGGCCCTGGTAAAGAATCTGACTTTTTGGATAAAATGAGAAACCACTGACTTTGACTCTTCCTCTGGGGGCGTGGGGAGCCACTGAAAGATTCTGGGCAGAGAAGTGATATGATCTGACATTTAACCATCTTAAATGGGTTCAGTCTGCAACTGTGCTTAGAATAGACCCCTAGGGGGCACGAGTGGATGCTGGCAGGGCAGCTGGGATATCACAGTCATGGAAATGAGAGTTGATGGTGGCTCCCACCAGAGTGAAAAGTGCTCAGACACTGTTTATATTCTGAAGGTGGAGCTGAGAGGTTTTCCCGCTAGACTGCATGCAGATGTCAGGGAAAGAGAGGAGTCCAGGACGATGCCAAGGTTTTTGGCCTGAGCTGGATGGCTGGCGATGCCATCAGTTAAGATGTTTACTTATCAGAACTTACCAGTTAAGTTTGCTTATCAGTTAAGATAAGTAAAGGGTGAGTGGAGGAGGCTCTGGGGGGATGATCAAAAGTACAGATTCAGGCATGTAACGTTTGAGATCTATCTGTTAGACATCCAAGTGGATAGGTTTGACAGGCAATAGGATCAAATGAGTGTGAAATTCAGGAAGGAGGTTTAGAATGGAGATATATAATTCTGGGAGGCATTTAACATATAAATTGTCCTTAATACCATAAGGCCAATTGATACAACTAAAGAGGTAAGTCTGGATACAAGATAGAAGACACAAGGGTGAGACTTGAGGCATTCTAACACAGAGATATTGGAGAAGAGGGAGAACTAACAAAAGATGACAGAGGAGATGATCATGCTGACGTTCATCTGAAATTTGCTCCCTCAAGGTGACTGTGATGGGTAAAAGATTAAGAAAGGAGAGAAGTTATTAGGGAATTGATACACAGGGCAGACCAGATGTAGAAATTGCCTTCTTCCTTTGCTATAAGGAGTGAGAGAGAGGACATGAGTGTGGTTTTAAGCCTCTCTCTCTCTGTAAATATTTAAGTGAAAGTCACTCAGTTATGTTCAATTCTTTGCGACCCCATGGGCTGGGGCCTGTAAGTTTCCTCTGTCCATGGAATTCTCCAGGCAAGAATACTTGGGTGGGTAGCCTATCCTTTCTCCAGGGGATCTTCCCGACTCAGGGATCGAACCAGGATCTTCTACATTGAAGGCAGGTTCTTTACCAGTTGAGCTACTTACATATAGACTCAAAAATCAAAGCGAAACACAGCACTTTGTTTATGAATTCATTTCTGTACAATATATTTATATGTGAAATTTCTGGAAGATTCTCAACAAATACTTGTCAAATTACTAAAAATTATGTTTTCTTTTTGGTGATAATTTTAGTGTTATGTTAAAACCATTTTCTTGCATAGAAAGGACACACAAAAACTTTCTTCAATACTTTTTTTCTAGACATACATACCTGTTGAATCAGATGCCAGTTTAGTCAGACATGTAACTTGTTCTTTCTCTCTAATTATTTGTCAAAACTCACTGGCAGATAGACACAGTAGGTGTGAATTGTCTATTTCTCTTAACTATGGCAGGTTGGCAATTGTAGTCAGTAAGACAACCATTGAACATATTAATATCTTTAAATAGGAGGTAGATAGTACAATGCAGATCTAAGTTAGAGTTCAATCTACATTAACCAAGAAACATCCTACATGGGGATTATTCCATTGAGAATCTTTAATGATTCTTCTCCCCCAGAACCAGAGCATAACTAAAAAATCTGACTGTTCCTTCAGAATGAGTAAGCACTGTTGCTTACCAGGGTAGGAGGAGATGGCATTGATGTGGGTGGTCCTGATGACACCCACCCGGGTCCCACGGTTGTTTTTCATACACATGCAGATACATATGGCAATTCCAGCAATTACTCCCATGATGAACACGATTCCAAATACTATGCCAGCAATTGCTGTGCCCCTAAAAAAGAAAAACGAAAGTACATTTATTTAAAAGACTCGTAGGGATTCCTCAGTCTTTCAAATACAGTTCTATGACTATACGACAAGTGCCCTTTTAGAAACGTTCTTAAGAATAATGTTAAAGAAAAAACACACTCAAGTTTTTCAGTTCTTGAAACCATTCCATAAATTAATAATTTCCTTTCTAGCATTTTCTCTGCTTTTCTTTCTGGAAACCTATTCTGAAATACGCCTCTTAGTCTCCTGGATAACTTCTCTAATTTTTCTTATCCCTATTTTCTTGAACTACTTTGTGGGGGATTTCATTGACTTTATCTTCTAAAATTTTACTGAATTCTAGAATTTCAGCGATCATATTTTTCATTTCCAGGTGCTCTACTTATCCCTTATTTCACTTCCCTTTTTTCATAGTGTCCTTTTTTGCTTTTAAGGATGCAATTTCTTCTATTCATCTGTAATGTACTCATGATGATATATTCTTTGAGACTATTTTTTTCCTCTGTCCTGTCTAGGCTCCTTTGTATTGATTGTTTACTTTGATCTGTTTGTGGTTGACATTTTCCTTAAATGTCTACTGTGGTTGTTGTTCAGTCACTAAGTTGTGTCTGACTTTTTGGAACCCCATGGACTGCAGCACGCCAGGCTCTTCTGTTCTCCAATATCTGCCAGAGCTTGCTCAATGATTCCTGAATCTACTCCTATGTTAAAATTTGTGGGTTGGAAGTTCAGCGTGCAAAGTCAATACTGGGCAGATGAACCCCACAGTAGGGGATCAACTGAGGTCAGTTCTCATAGTTTTGTTTTTCTTTTGGATTGTAGATTTTACTCTTTAAAAGGATCCTCCAGTTTCATACTTGGGGAACATGAACTGGGCTGGCTGCCAGTTTCCTGGAGCCTAGAGTTTTATCCATAAGAGTATGAATTTAAAAAAAATCCTCAGGCTTTCATCTCAGAGACTTGGTCACATTCTGCTGTGACGGGGGAGGCTTTCAGGATAAATCATCAGTAACAAAATCTTGTGCTTTAAAGCATGACTCCTAAAGCCAGACTGCCACGGTTCCAACTGTAGCCTTGGGTAACCTTGGGCAAGCTGCTCAATGCCCCAGTTTGCTTATTAATGAAATAAATGCTTTGGTGCTTTCCTGACTCTCCTCTCGAATTCAATGTCATGAAATAACTGTGCTCCTGGATTCAATGGTCACATGAATAAGGTCCTACTCTCAAGTGCTATATAAACAGCTATCCTGTACTTTTCTAGGACAGGTCCATGATCTCCCATCCCAAGTCCTTGGGACTAGATGTGTTCATAAGCCAGGAATGTTCAGATTTTGGAAAGGGAATATACATATACTGTATGTTGTATGATACTCCCACAGCCAGCATCTGGAGCATAACACATGAACATTTCTGAATATTAATACTCAGATTACATGGAAGCTATGAAAAAATCCCAGGTTCATTCAGGTCCAGGCTTGCCACCAATTGTAATGTATAAAACCTTTACTTTTCATGGTTTTTTTTTTAATTTCAGAATTGCAGATAAGGAACTGTGGACCTATCTGTATGTACACTTTGCAGTAGAAATCTTCTCTTTATGACTTTCTCTCACTCACTTAAAAAAACACAAACAAAACACTCCATTATGCATTCCAATAGACTCCTTTAAAGTATTCCTACATAATTTTAACTTTGTTAGTAAATTGTGAAAGTAGAACATGAAATATTTGGATGGTCTATTAGCAATTAAAGAATGGCAGAGTCTGGCAGTTCAGTAAATAAATCCTTTCAAGGAAAAAGATTTATCAAAGGAGATAACATGAAATAAAAAAAAAGTGATCTGGAAACCTCTTTTTCATTGTAATTTTTAGGTCTAAATAAGATTAAATTGGAGGGCTTAATTCATGTCCCAGAAATAATCAATGACCCAATTATTTAGGCGTAGAGTTTCCAAAGTGTGTGCTACGGAAGCTAAGACATCAAATTGAGGCATATTTATATTCATTAATTCCTCTTTAAGTGGAAAAAAGTAGAAAATCAGTCACATTTTATTTTCTTGTCAGCAGCTCTGGCAAAAGTGTCTGCTCTTGAGGTCAATAATGAGGTTACAATTAATGTGTTAAGAGGTTTTTTGATTAAATCATGATTTTCATGTCCTTGATACTTTGATACCCATTAGCAATTATAAATTAGTTATTTAAAACATGGCAAGTATAAAATTTATAGCATTATTTACTCAGTTATTAATTTAAAAAATAAACAGTAACCTTCCAGTATATAATATATTTGGTTTAGTCATCTGTTTGAAAGAGAGAATCTATTAAGTTGAGAAATTTGACATCATAAAATCCTTGAAAAAATTTAGGGAATGTATTTTCTTTTGAAAGAAAGCATTACAAGGTTTGCATATTTTCTCTTTTCTAAACTTCTAATTTGAAATAATTATAGATTTCCAGGAAGTTGCAAAAGTTGTGCAGAAAGGTCATGTGTATCCTTCACCTGCTGCTGCTGCTACTGCTAAGTCACTTCAGTCATGTCCAACTCCGTGCAACCCCATAGACGGCAGCCCACCAGGCTCTCCCATCCCTGGGATTCTCCAGGCAAGAATACTGGAGTGGGTTGCCATTTCCTTCTCCAATCCTTCACCTAGTTTTACCCAAAGGTTACATCTTAGGTAGTCAAAGTGAAAAGTGCAAGTTGCTAAGTCGTGTCCAACTCTCTGACCCCGTGGACTGTAGCCTGCCAGGCTTTTCTATCCATGGAATTCTCCAGGCCAGAATACTGGAGTGGGTAGCCATTCCCTTCTCCAGGGGATCTTCCCAACCCAGGGATCAAACCCAAGTCTCTGGCATTGCAGGCGGATTCTTTACCCTCTGAGCCACCAGGGAAGCCCTAGATAGCCAAAGTACAACATTAAAACTAGAAAACTGCAATTGGTATAAAGTGTGTGTAGGGCTTCCCTAGTAGCTCAGCTGGTAAAGAATCTGCCTGCAATACAGGAGATCCCGGTTCAATTCCTGGGTTGGGAAGATTCCCTGGAGAAGGGATAGGCTACCCACTCCAGTAGTCTCAGGCTTCCCTGGTAGCTCAGCAGGTAAAGAATCTGCCTGTAATGTGGGAGACCTGGATTAATCCCTGGTTTGGAAAGATTCCCTGGAGAAGGGAATGGCTACCCACTCCAGTATTCTGGCCTGGAGAATTCCATGGACTGTATAATCCATGGGTTCACAAAGAGTTGAACACAACTGAGTGATTTTCACTTTCATGGTTTGTTCTATGTCATTTTAACACATGCATAGATTTATGCAACCAATTCAGTAAGCAAGGTACTCTTCCATTACCACCAAATATTTCCTTGTGCTTCTTCTATATAGTCATACACGCACCTACCACCATCAATAACCCCTACCACTAATCTGTTCTCTATTTCTATCATTTTGCCATTTCAAGAGTGTTATACAAATGGAATCACATAGCATGTGACTTTCTAAAATGGTCTTTTCTTCAGTCAGCATGATGTCCTTGGAAGCCATCTTGACTTTCATGTATAGCAATACATTCTTTTTTATTACTGTGTAATATTCCATAGTATAGCTATAACCCAGTTTATTAAGCCATTACTTATTATAGGACATTTTGGTTATTTCTAGTTTTGCCTCTTCCATTTATAAAACTGCTATGAACAATTACATACTGGTTTTTATGTGGACATAAGTATTCATTTCTCCAGAATAAATGCTCACAAGTAGGACTGCTAGGATATACAAGCATATAGTCTATTTTAAAAGAAACTGCCAAACTATTTTCCAGAGTGACAATACTAGTCTACATTCCCACTAGCAGTGTAGGAGAGATCCAGTTTCTATACATCCTTGCCAGCATTTGACATTGACATTGTTTTTTATTTTAGCTATCTTAACAGGTGTGCAGTGATACCTCATTGTGACCTTAATTTATACTTCCCTTTAGTTAGTGAAGCTGAGCATTTTTTAATGAACAGATTTGCCATTTCTATATCTTCTTCAGTGAAATGTTTCCTATCTTTGCTCATGTTCTTATTGGATTGTTTGTGCTTTCACTGTTGAATTTTTGAGTTCTTTGTAAATTCTGGATATGAGTCCCTTCTCAGATAAGTAAATTGTAAGTGTTTTCTCCCAGCTTGCAGCTTGCCTTTTCATCCTCTTTATACAGTCTTTGGCAAAAGTGAAAGTTTTTCATTTTAAAGAAGTCCAACTTATCAAGTTTTTTCTTTTATGATCTGTGCTTTTATTATCATGTCTAGAAACTCTTCTCCAAGCCGTAGTTTCTGAAGATTTTCTCTCATGTCTCATTATAGTTTTATGTTTGATGTTTAAATCTATGATCCATTTTGACATAATTTTGTATATGGTGTCAGATTTGGATTGAGCTTCATTTATTTTGCCCATTGATATCCAATGACTCTGGCACCATTTACTGAAGACACTATCCTGCTTCCATTGCAATGCTTTTGCACCTTTGTCAAAAACCAGTTGGCTTTGCTCTTTGGGAGTGTCTTTGGGCTCTGTATAGTTTCTTGTTGCTAGATGGGGTGTTTTATAAATGTTGATTAGATTTTGTTGGTTGATGATATTGTTCAGTTCTTCTATATCCTTGTTAACCAATTCTATATCCTTGTTTCTGTCTAGTTCTACTAATTGTTAGTGAAGGGTGTTAAAGTTTCCAACTATAATTTTGGGTTTCTGTGTTTCTCTTTTATGTGTTTTGCTCCATACATTTTGCAGCTTTTCTGTTCTGTCTAGACTTCACACTTGACTTCTGCTGATAGGCACTTGGGTGGAGTGTTTTTTGTTATTTTTTCCCCTTATAGTGTTTGGCTATAGTTAAATTAGTCCAGTTGTTACTGTCTCAGAATTTTCTGTTTTGCTAGACTGTCTCTTTCTGGGTCCTTTGACTGAAAGATCAGGCTTTTGTCGGGGTTTTCATTGTCTCCTTCCATTGGTATCTATGGGTTGTCACTTT